GAAAAATGTTTCATTAGTGGTGCAAATAAGAAAATGTTGTTTTGCATTTTTTTTTGTTTTGCATTATTATTTTTTATTTTTATTTTTTTTTTTTTTTTTTCATTTTTTTTGGTTTTTTTTTTTTTTTTGTCATTTTTGTTTTTGTATTTTTTTTTTTTTTTGCTTCCTTTCCAATTTTGTTATTGTAACTGTTATACGCCATTGCAAGTCCAATTCAAGTTTGAAAAACAAGCCAAACTGCCAAAAACTAAATGAATCAATCAATCAATCAAAACTACCAAAAATTATAAATACATTAAGCGAAAATGTTTTGCAGTAAGCAGAAAATACTATTGGGAGCTCAATATTTTGATTTTGGTTTTTTTTTTTTTTCTTTTTGCTGTTGTTGTTTTTGTTATTTTCGGGTCGGTCAATTGGAAATTGGAAAAAGTTGTTGTTGTACAATTTTCGTTATGGTATGCAAGTGTGTACGAGTATGTGTATGTGTGTGTGTAGGTGTGTGTTTGGATGTTCATACATATGTACTTATGTATGTTGTAAATGTGATCAATTTCTACATTTCATCATTTATCTATAGAGACATAGACAGTGTGTTCAAAGCACGTGTGTGTTAGTGTGTATGTGTGTGTGTGTGTGAGCATATTTCAAATAGATTCGTGTGCCAAATGCATACATACATAGCTGTTATACATGGATGTATGTATGCATGTCCTGATGTCAACCAAAATTCCGTTTTGATTTTCAATTTTTTACGAATTTTGTTACAAAATTTTCAAGCAATAGTAAAGCATATGTGTATGTGTGTGTGTGTGTGTGTGTTAGTGCGCAATGGAACCTCACGTTGTTGTTGTTGTTGTTGTTACAGATGTATGTAGTTATCTTAGCTGTCAATTAGTATTTAGTTAAGCCTTAGTTGATTGCATTCTAACTATGATTAAATTGCGTTGCTAATCAAAAAGTTAAATTATCGAAATGAAAATCTGAAGAAAATCGATATACATATATATACATTACATATATATACTGTTATGTACGTAGCGTACTTGGAGTACTTGGAACAAAATGCAATTTTGTACAGATTAAAAGAGTTAAGCTTTGAACAAAGCAATACGAAGCCAAACGAAACGAAACGAAACGGAACGGAACGGAATAGAACGCAATAGGCGAATGCGAAATGCAGCTGAAAAGTAGGCAATATTTTTGTAATTTTGTTAATTTCTTTCTGTATTTGTTTTGCTTTGAAGCTTTTGTTTTCTTATTATTTTTTTTTTTAAATTGAATATGCTATTTATAGACTTAATGAATAAATATATATGTGCATATGTATGTGCACATATACATGAATTTCTTTACATATATATGTGTATATTTTGTAGATTTTTTTCTTGTTTTTAATTTTTCTCTCATTATTTTTTTTTTAGTTTTGTTTTTCATTTCAATTCGTTTTTTTTTTTCATTCTTTCCTTTCGTCGAATTTGTTTTTTTTGCTTTTTTACTATTGTTGTTCCTGCTGCTGCTAGCGTTATGGATTGTAAAAGATGAATGACTCTAAGGTAGAGAATGCGATCATCATTATCATCATCATCAACATCATTATCATCATAATCTTCTTCAGCGTCATTGTGAACTTCTTCATGTTCATCTTCTTCATCATCTTCTTCATCTTCATGTTCATCTTCTTCATCATCTTCTTCATCTTCATTATCATTATTATCATCATTTATTGTTCTTATTGTACACTCTTTGTGCTCCTTTTCTATACACACACTCTCACACACACTCACTCACTCACGCACATACACACACACGCACACACATGCACAGAGTTTGTACTTTGTTTGCTCTTCATCTTCTTTTGCTGTTGTTGTTCTTGTTGTTGTTGTTGTGTGTGTGTGCTCTGCTTTCTTTCCTTAGCTTTTGCTTTTTCTTTGCCTTTATAGGTTTTATGTTTGTTTCATTTTCAATTCTATTTTTTGTTCACTTTGTTTTTCAACGATCTTTCACTTCACAGGTTTTTCATACTTTTCTTCTTCTTCATTTTTATTTTACACTTTTATTTTTTATTTTTTTCAATTATTTTTTGCAAGTTTTTCACATTTCGCATGCGACACAGTTTTTGTTGTAATTTCTTTCTGTACTTCTCTTTACTTGTTACTTTGCTATTCATTAGTTTCTACCAAGTTTAGTTTTCGTTACTCATTTTTCTTCGTTTTATCATTTTCTTTTTGCTTTATTTCATTTGCTCAGCCGTTTCGTTTAGTTAGTTAAGTGTGGTATATTTTTGGTTCCGTATTCGTTTTAGCTCAATGCGCCCCAACTCCAATGACAATGCCTAACGGTGTCAGTCAGCTATGTGTGTGTGTGTGAAGTACATTTGCTTGTGTGTGTGTGTGTGTTAGTGTGGTACAAATGCCACAGCTGCCAATCAACAAACACTCAATGTGCATTTCCCAACACTGTTTCCCATTGAATATGTGTGCGTGTCTGCTTATGCATGTGTGTGCGAGTGTGTGTGTCTGTCTGTGTCCATGTGTTAGGGAAGCACACTTGTGTTTCGCGATATGCCTGGCATTGTCCAACACTGTTTTATAATGCATGTATGTGTGTTGTGTGTGTGTGTGTGTGTGTGTGTGTTAGTGTATGCTTTAAACTTCTTGCTTTTCAATAATTCTGTAATTTTGCTTTGTTTTGCTGTTCAAATTTAGTCAAATTCAATGATAACGCGATATTCATCGCATAAACATTGAATACGCGATATCAACTGAGTGTTTCACTGGAACTTTTGGCAATGCAACCAAATGGGGAAAATAAGAACAATACAATTATACCAGTACATATGTATGTGTGTGTGTGTGTGGGAGTGTGTGTGTGTTTCATGTTTCATTGTTTCATTCAATTATTAATTTGTATTGCTTTTGCTGGCAGTTCAGACGATCATGTTTTTGTTTTTGTTTTTTTTTTTTTGTAGAATCTTCTTTTAAGTTTACAATACAAAATACAATTAAATCCATGCAATTGGTGTTGCTTTCTTCAACTTTGACATGTGTGTGCGTGCGTGTGTGTGTGTGTGTGTGTGTGTGTATGGAGTTTATGCATTTGTTATTTCGTTTTCGTTTTGCACTGTTTTTTTTTTATTATTTTTTATTTGTTTTTTTTTTTTTTTACATATACTTTGAATTTTCATATAATATATCCTATATTTGATTTTGTGATTTATCTCTTGTTTTTCGTTTTTGTTTTTATTGTTGTTTCTTTTATGCAAATTAAAATATTAAAGGCTTCATTTGTTTTAGAATGTAGATTTAGAATTTTAAGAATCGAATTCAGATTTAATTAATTAATTATTTATTTATTATTATTTATTGTGTGCTTGTTTGTTTGTTTGTTGTTGTTGTTGTTGTATTGGCTGTTTGCTAGATTGTACTCGTACTCGATTTCGTAGGAAATGGATTTATGATGCTTGATTCACATATACATGTGTATGTATGTATATGTATATATGCATGTATTAATAGAACATTTGGGCTTCATTCATTCTAGGTAGGCCAATTGTGACATGTTCTTGTTGTGTGTGTGTGTTGTTGTTGTTGTGTGTTTGAAGGTAACTACGAGCCTGCTTACAAATTTAAAATATTCTCTTAATATGCTCAACATTTCTCTTTAGCTTAAGTATGATTGTTGTTTGTTTGTTTGTTTGTTGTTGGTGTTGTGCTTCTCATTTGTTTATGTATTAGATTTGAAACAGAATTAACTTAAATTTGTAGACACTTGCTGCTGTCGTTGTTTGTTGTTGCTGATGTTTGTTGCTGCTGTTGTTTGTTGTACTTTATTACAATTTGTATGTATTCCCATTGTTGTTTGTTGTTGTTTGTTGTTGTTGTTGTTATTAATCTATAGCAGAAAATTATGCTTGTTTCGCTGTTGTTGTTGCTGTACCTGTTTGCTCACTGTTGTTGCTGTTGTTGTTGCTGTTGCTGTTGCTGATGTTGTTGTAGCTGCTGCAGCTGGCATTCGATTTGTTGTTGCTGCTGCCAGCTGCTGTTGCTGCTGCTGCTGCTGCTGCCGCTGCCAGCTGCCACAGCTGCTCTCAGTAGTCGCGTGCGTCTTGGAGGGGGGGGCGAGGCCTGGCTCAGACATCTGCCGTGCGCGATGTTATGCTCGGCGATCGCGAGTGTATTACAACCTTGTGGCCGTTTTTTGTCACAAAACCATCGCTCTCAACGAGCACGGCCGTTTGGCGGCCAGCGCTGCCGCCACTGCCGGCGCTCTGGCCGCCGGGACTGCCGCTTCCATTTCCGTTGCCATCGTTCGGACTATTTACAATGCCACCGCCACCGCCATCGGCATCGGCTGCATCGTGGCCACCATTGGCGCCGCCCGCATCGTGATCATCGTGATCATGCGGGCCATTGTGATCGGCTGCATCCGCATGGCTTTCGGCTGCACCGGGATCGGCTGGATCGTGGCTGCCATTGGCATCGCCACCGCCTTCAGCATTGCCATCGCCGTCGGCATCGTTTCCACCGCCGACGCCGCCGCCGCCGCTTTCCACGCGCGCCTTGTGCTTGCGCCAGGCGTGCTGGATGAGGCGGGCGCAGTACTCCTCGCGCTGACGCCAGAGCGTTGAGGAGACGGGCTCGTAGCCCTCGGTGTCGGGTCGCGCCGCAATTTCGCCAATTTCGCCCGTCTCCTCGATCGGATTGCCCTTGCGCGCGAAAAAGTCTTTGGTGAGGGCGTCGAGTATGTCCACGCAGTACATGAGATCGCCTCGACAGATGGGTATGTCCATCGATATGATTTTGTACTTGTTCGGCTTGTGTATCTGCAGCGGCGGCTCGAGCACATCGAGGAACTCCGATAGCTGATCGTAGCGTATATACTGTGTACCCTCGGGATCAAACTGCTGCCAGATCTCGTAGTACATGTCGTAGTCGTCGTCGGTTAGACCCTCCTGCACATCTTCGGTGGCCTGACTATAGTTCTCAAGAATGACAGCAATGTACATATTAATAACTATCAAAAAGCTTATAACTAGATATGAGAGGAGAAACGTTATTCCAACGGTCGCTGAACCACAATTGCCCGGATAGCCTTTGTCGTTGTCGGGTGGATCGCATGCTTCCTCATTGATAATGGCGTCGAGTACACCATCCCAACCGGCTGAGGTAGACATCTGCTCGTTTAGCGTATGCGCGAAATGCAACCGATAGATCGATAAATCGATTGATCGACAGATCGACAGATTGATTGATCGATTTAGATCGATCGATATGTTTAGTGTTTAGTTTGTTTGGTTTTTTGTTGTTGTTGTTTTCATTTTGAATTGAATTGCATTCGGTAGCGGCATAAAACGCATTTGTGGACGGCAGAGTTGAGCGGTTGGATGGTGTTTTTTTTTTTGAGTATTTTTTTTTTTTTTTGGTATTTTTTGTATATGTTGATCGTTCGTTGTGTTTGTTTGTTGTAGTGGGTCGATCGTAAATGGTCGATCGTGTCAGAATTGTAGTTACGTGTCGTACGTATGTGTGAGTGTGTGTGTGTGTGTGTGTGTGGGCAGTGAAAGAAAAGTTTAAGACAGAAGATACAATAACAAGAAGAGTCATTAGTCAAACGTTAGGTTAATGGATCACTTGGTTAAGCAAATCTAAGTAGTTGTTAGGTATGTTGGGCATATGGTAGTTGTAGTAGTTGTAGTTAGTAGTAGTTGTTGTTGTTGTAGTAATGGTTGTGGTTGTGGTTGTGGTGGTAGTGTTGGAGGTGGTTCACAAACGATATAAACTGTTTGCTTGAATGCGGTTAACTGAGTAACTGGCTTGCAAATCGGGCCATATTGAGGTGTAGGCCACACATACATCTGGATATGCATATATGTATGTGTCTATGTGTGTGTGTAAGTGTGGCGGCCAGTCTTGAGTCGCATAACGGTTTGATGGCCAAACAATGTAGCGGTAAATGCAAGCGGGAGCTATGTTCGTTCGTTTGAATTGGTTTTGCGAACAGAGCAAATCGAAAGCTCAAAGAGTTGTAAACAGTTAACAGAGACAGACAGGGAGCGAGAGAGAGTAAGACAGAGACAGATGGAGAGTGAGAGAGAGAGGGTTAAAGAGAGACAGTGTATATGTGTAAGTGACATAGAGAGAGAGAGAGAGAGAGAGGGGAAGAGAGCGTAGCGTAGTTTTGTATTTCTTTTGGCGTTTGAAAACGCGCGAAAGTTTTGTTTATTTATTTTTGCATTGTGTCATGAGGAAATTACAAAATTTCATTTGGCATTTGTTGATAGAGCTGAATTAGATTTGTTTTTTTTTTTTTTATTATTATATATATATATGAATGAATAACTAAGGGTATGAATTAAATGAAACTAATGGGAGTTAAAATGAATAGTTATGTACAAAGGATCAGTCATGATCTTTGAGCAGAACGACTTAAAATGAGCTTCAGCTCACTTGTTTGAGAAGTTGCTGAAAGCTCAATGAAGCTGCTGATATGCGTGGCATATGGAATACGATGCATAACCAAAGAGTAACGTGATTAAAATTGTGAATGAGAAAAAAAACTGGCTCTAATTTAGCTTTTACCAACAACTACCGCAGCTTGAATCAACATTGTGATGTTGCCACTAAAACAAAATGGCGCACACGGCAAGTGGCAACATTGGTGGAGACGATCAGTATCGATAGATCGATAGCACGATCGCACGATGGCCGATCGTCAGCGTGTCTGTGTGTGCTTAAGCGCGGACAGAAACGTTGCCAGAGGCTGTGCGGCGCCAGGTGCCAGACCTGCCAGACCGCTCGCATTGCACTGGGCGGTTATGCTGGGTGGTTGGTGGTGGTGGTTCTGTTTGGTTTGGTGTGTTTTAGTGTGGGGGCGTGGCAACATCACCCAACGACAACAACAATAGACAACATAAACCGTTAACGGAATTGTGGCAGAAACGCTTACCTGAAACAGCAATATCATGCTCTGGCCAAACGTCTTGAAGTTGTAGACATCGTTGATGCCGCTCTTCTCCTTCACGTGCATGAAGAACGACATGCCGAAGATGGCAAAGATGAACATCACCAGGAAGAGCAGCAGACAGATGTTGAACAGCGCCGGCAGCGACATCGCCAGTGCGAATAGCAGAGTTCGTATGCCCTTGGCGCCCTTCACCAGCCGGAGGACTCGGCCCACTTTGGCCACGCGCACCACACGCAGCAGCGTGGGCGACACGAAGTATTTCTCGATAATATCGCTAAGTACAAGACCTGCAGGGCGCGAGCGTCGATTGAGAAATTGAGTGTTCAGAATTATTGATGGCAGTTAACTAGAATGGGGCTCAGTTCAGAATGGGGAGTTCAGACGGGGGCCGGGGGATCGAAGGGAATGGAGGGTTTGCCTCTGTGTGCGGCAGGGGCTCAGCGCAATCAGAGTTGCACAAACAAGACACTAAAACAAAGAAACACAAATTAAGTTGAGTAGGGGGCGCTGGGAGGGCGGGGTAGCGCAATATTAACAATTTACATAGCTGAAATATTGAAAGTGTTAGGATAATACACACAGACACAGTTGTTCGCTTGATTTACCCAACACTCGTACACAAACAACAAATCAATCAAATCAAACAAATACAAATACAGATACAGATACAAATACAAATACAGTTACAGATACAGATACATATAGTATATATAAATGGATAGCGGATATACATATAGTATGTACAATTGTCTGATGAAATGATAATTGAATTTCCCATTAAGTTGCAAAACCTTTCTGAGAAGAAGAGAAAGAAGTTTTCAAACGATACGGCAACGTTGCCATAAGAGAGCAAGAATAGAACGGCTCTTAGAGCGGATAAAAGAGATAGGAATCGAAAATGTTTGCAATTTAATCGAAATTCGATGAAAGCGTTTAGCATATAAGGTTCCATAGACTATACACAACGATCTAAGATCTCTATAATCGATTTGTTTTTCTCTTTTTTTTAAGCCCCGATCTTTATGTATAGTATATCCACTTTCATAATGCTACGCATTGTTAATATCATTTCATTTGAATACAATCATAGGATATACATACATATATACACAATATCGGAGTTACTAGTCGATACCGTTACGTTACGAAACAGAAAACAACAAAATAGCTAAAACGGAAAACATCAACATAAGATACACACAGATATTTATACAGATATACGTATTCTTAAGTACGGGTATACAGCGGTGTCATACAACTTACATACATACATACATACATAGTACACATGGGTATGTTGAGTAAAAGAAAAAGAGAGAGAAAATCAAAGGAAAAATGAAAAACGGTAAAAGTAAGTTTTAGCTGTAACTTGAAGAGCAACGGTAAGCAGCAACACTTAGAGTAGAGGATATCCATTTTTAAAAGTATTTTTTTTTTAAAGAAAGTATTTTGTTTAGTATTTTTCTTTGTTTTTGCTAGCGCAGAGGCGTTGAAAGCAGCAGCAGGCGTATGCGCAGGTGTAGGCGAGGGCGTAGGCGTAGGCTTTGGGCGTTGGCATCGAAAATCATCTCGTGGCGCATGTCTTTAGAGATGTCTTCATAGAGTTGACTTAAGAGCTTTCAGTTGTTGTTGGTTTTCTCGTTTAGCTTGGTTCATTATTTGGTTCGGGTTAACAGATATATATATATATTTTGTTGATATATATATATGCATATGTAGTAGTGGTGTGTGTGAGCGTCTTTAACTTTTAGCGATAATCCGAAGCATATTTTAAGAGTGCCAAACATCAGCAAAAAGTTCGTTTGTTGCCCAATCGCGCTCAGGGAGCTCGAGCGAGAGCGCGAGAATGAGAGAACAAGATAAAGGTGAGTGGAAGCGAGAGCAGCTCAACTGCTGCATACAATAATTTTGAAACAATATGTTCATTGGCATCTCATTCTCTAGTTGATACGAAATGCGCACTAGTGTGAGCGAGAGGGAAATGGGGGGCACTACACACAACTGATAGCTGAGCAGTGGGCAGACACTAAACACAACTCAACTGAAAGCTGGCTGAACAAACGAACTGATGCGATTGGTTGAAATTGTAAAATGGAGTCGAGTAAGAAGAAGAGCATAGCGAGCAGTATTGAATGCCTATGCGTTATGCCTAATGACAGGCTAATTAACAAAAATGAGAATTAACGGGAGCGAATTCACGAAAAAGAGAAAAAGAGAGAGAGAGAGAGAGAGCGGGAGCGGGAGAGCGAAATATAGCGAGAGAGCGAAAGAGAGAGAGAGAGATAGAGAGTGGAGTGAATGTGAAAACAAAACAGAAAAAAAATATATATTATTTCTTGTTTTTTTTTTTTTACACATATTAAGTCAAATGATAAGCACTAAAACTAGTTAAAACTAATGAGAGTTTTCATAAATATATTTGGTTTTTCTGTTTTCTCTTTGCCCACTTTGGTTCAATGCGGGAGTTGCTGAGGTTGCGTAGTTCTATTTACCAGGTATGTAGATCTATCTAAATATTTCGTATGCGTTTTACTACGTTCATAGTAAAGTACATAATCTCCATTGCAGATTGGACCAAAACCATTAAGAAGATTCAGGCTAGTGCCACGGTATTTGCTTGAGTTCGAGTTGGGTGGATTTTCAACATGGTTGCCAATGGGACGCATAACATATAAGGCGGAGTTAAATCATAAACGGGTCACGTTATCCAACCAGTTATGCTACACACTATACAAAAATTGGAGGGTACGGCCAGGTGTTTGGGGCCAAGGCAGCAGTCGTACGCGCATGTGTGCTAAACAGCGCGCACGGCCATTGCGTTGGCTGGCCGGGCGAATGGGGATTGACAATCGTCAAAATTTCTATACCGGGCAGTAGCTGACAGAGTTATGCAACCGACAATCGCACAGATCGGTAGAGAGTTGTGGAATGCCTGTTGACACCTAACTCTGATTGAATCTTATCGTCGTCTTTATCAATAACATTTCATTTTCGTTTTTTTTTTTTTTTGCGTTCTGTGCAAGCCATTTTGTGTGAGTGTGTGTGTGTGATATAGTTTAGCTTTTTTTTTTTTGTTTATTATTTATTTAGGTAAATCGCTGTTATTTGCTATTCGCTTATTTGTTACGTTTTTTTATCAAAAGTTTTTCTTTTTTTTTCATTTTGCATTTACAAAGCGTAGTTTTTTTAGTTTTTTCTTTTTTTTTTTTTTGTACGTTTGTTTTGTCTTAGTCTTGTTTTAAAAGCGTGTATTAATATATTCGTCTATAAGGATATCACTTGGCGTATTGCATTGGGGTCGAACAGTCGAAGCCAAAGAATGAAGCATACTTTAAGGCGTTTTTTAATTTCAAGCATTTGCTTTAGAGTTTCGGCATTAAAATTTATATTGAAAGTTGTTTGTATTTGTTTTTTTTTTTTTTAAATACTTATTGAAAGTGCGCTTGAGAAACGTTTGGCGCGTGTGTCACATAAAGAAGCAAAGCATTAGAACAGTAAAGGAAAAAAAAGAACAACCTCGGCCTGGGGCTTCCCTTGGCCAGGTTACTTAGAAGTAGATTGAAGCGAGTTTTTTTTTTTCACATATGAAATCATAATCCGAAAAAGAAAATATGTATATACGTATTGTAATTGGAAGGGCATCGCCTATCTGGGAGTCATACTTCGAGCAAAAGGGTTTCAGCATGGATGGGCGTGGGGGCGCGGAATTTGTCGTTGGTCAGATTCAACGGGCGAACAGCAGCAGAAATGATAACAGCATCCCTTTTATGTACACGGAGTAGTATAAAATGGAAGCTTTCTGTTGCAAGTATTAATGTAGTAAAGCATATTTTAAGCCATCTTTTGTACAGTTTTGGTTGGATGTTTGGTCCACACACATTGAGCCATAGCCATAGATATATATAAATATTTTAAGATCTTATCTATCCAAAAACGAACCGAAATTGATTGAAAAGTAGATGAAGTAGAAGAAGTAGCAAAAAGTAAACGATAATTCGGTTTGGGATTCCGATTGAACTATACATATTTTGAGGTATTCCCAATTTGTTGGCCCGGACTGTTGGCACATATTGTTGATCTCACTTCGCTTTCGATTCGATTGTGTGTGCTTACGTATGCGCGATTGTTAAGCTGTAGCAATAAAAATGAGCGGAGCTCGCCTCTGATCGAGGCTGGCGTTAAAAAGTTGTAAAATAAAACTTAAACTTAAGGAATATTATAATGGATTAAAACATAATTGTAATATAATCGTTAATAATTAGTAATAATATTCAGGAATCGATATCTCAATATGGTTTGAACGACAGTTACAACATCAATTTAATTACATATATGGACACCAATACATGAATTGAGTTCAACAATTTAATTTTTACACATTTAAATTTAATAATTTAATTTAATTTCGAGTAAACAAATACAGTAGATACAGTTAATTTACTATGTAATTTTCAACAAACGAACAACATTTATAAAAGGCGTACGGAAATCAAAGAGGTGTTGCTCTGGTATAACAGTTAAAAGCAGTGGTATAACAACTGACAACTGTTATACACTCTTAGCAAAGCCAACATTAAAAAAATGAAAAACAAGCTATGAAATCATATGGAATACACCTTGCCAAGGTATAACAGTCAACATCACTAGTATAACAACTGTTGACTGTTATACAGTCTCAGCAAGGTCAACGTTAAACTAAAAGAAAACAAGCTAACAAATCATTTGGAATACGTTAAGCACAACGACATTAGTTTGCTTCACATAATATCCAGCGCCTTTGCCAATCAACATAGACGGATTATTTATGCCACGACTGTATGGACAGTCTGGTCTATGTGGGAATTGGCAACGAGCTCAAATCATTATGTGAACAAGCAACAACAAATAAATTAGATTACGATTTTGTTTAGTTAATTAAACTTTTTTTTTTTTTGGTTTTGATACAGAACAACAACAATAAGAATTACGATAACGAATTACGAATCAACATTTAAACGAATACTTGTTGGGAAATTGCATTTTACGTTTAAGAACGACAGCAAAGTTAGTAACAATTACATATTTATATAGATAAAGGAATAAGGAGAGCGTTCTGTGTCACAAAATAATAGAGAGAGACAGACAGAAAGAGAGAGAGAGATATATAGAGAAACATACACACATACAGCAAGAGCGTACGGTTATGTGGAGTTTTGGGTTTGGAACTTGGATTATTTTTGTTTTGGGCCTATTTAAGCTTTATGGCTTTTTTTTTTTGTATATTTTGTTGGTATTTGCAAGTACAAAATTGATAAGTTTTTGGCATTTTTACTTACCTAAGATGGATAAAATGACAACTACTACATCAAATAAATTCCATGGCTCAATAAAATAGTGATATCGTAAAGCGAATATTTTTAATAGACATTCGGAACTGAAAATAACTACGAATATCGCATTCAGATAGTCAAGGACCGCGTTGTACGTGTCCGACGCATCGTAACGATCGAGTGTCATGGTGAACATGTTTAGACCAATGAATAACATAATGATTATATCGAATTTCTTATCGGTTACTATTTCAAAGACTATTGCTTGTGGACGCCACTGTAAATGAGAGAGAAAGAGAGAGAGAGAGAGAGTGGAATCGAAAATAAACAAAAATCAAAAATATAACATAAAATTTTTTTGTTTTTTTGGTTTTGTTGGTTTTGTTTTTGTTTTGGTTTTGGTTTTGGTTTTTTTCGGGATGACGTCGTGGATACCGAAAGTAGAGAGAAGAGAGATAAGAAAAAAAAGAAAATAGAAGAGTTTGGTATAAGTACTTGTTTGAGGTTAAGCACGATCACAATTACTTATGTGTATGTATATGGTTATGTACATATACACTAACACATACACACGCATGTGCTTGTAGTTAGTTAACAATACCATGTATGTACATAGACATAGGCTGTACTTATGTAACTAGTTAATACGGAGAGTAGTCCAACTTCAAACTTAGTTGGTATTTTATATAAGTATATTTGGTATTTTTTTATATTAGGTTTAGTATTGGTATTAGTTATATGTTATAGATTAGATTTGATTTGATATCGTTTCATTTCATTTCGTTTCGTTTATCGTTGCCTAAATACTCTTTGCGTGGTAGATCTGTGCCAATAGCAATCTTTTTTCCATGAACAGCGCGCGCCCACCTGTATGTACAGTAGAGTATGCGTAAATTGGACAACATTTGAGTGTGTGAATAGATATTAATAGATAGAGCAACAGATTAGAGTTGATAGTGTGACAGTGAGTCGGTGCGCTTTGATTATCATTGAATAATTGTTACTTAATATGAGAGCAGACAATTTCATTCAACTACATCTTAAGGACAGACAGCATTCGCAATTGATTATTGATTATTTGAGTTGATTATTGATTAATTGATTACTTGATTAATTGATTATTTAAGTATGTTTTCTTTTTTTTTTGTGTTTCGAGTACAGTTTAGAGTATTTAGTATAAAACGTGCTGCTACAGTCGTGGTCTGATAGTTTTAATGTATGTTCGTTGGGCCGCAAGGGGAGGGGGATTTGGTTAAAGTCTTGAATTTTGGATCGTTTCATTGATCGGAACATGCCTCGTAGCTGTGTCTAACATAACTTGATTTGTGTCTTCTAACGCTACACAACATGCCCAAACATGATTCAGATTCACGTGCCATTTAATTGAAATTTAGTCAATAAAAAGAAATGAAGAAACATGCACTTAGATTGCCTTTATAAGGAGAGAGAGAGAGAGAGAGAGTACAAGAGAGTGTATATTGAGAAATATATATATATATATTTATAAATATATAAAGAGAAATAGAAAGAGAGATATAGAGCATATGTACATAAATTGATTGTTTTTTGTTTTTATTTATTTTTACAGAGAATTTTGGAATTGTTTTTTGAATTTTGGCATAAATTTCATGTTGGTCTAGGTTACAAATGGCAGACATAAAAATGTTTAAGTACAGACAACCATACGGACACAATACTTAAATATTGTTATTGAAATGAAGTATTAAGTATTATTATTTAAGAAACAAACAGTAGTATGTCGAGAGCATAGTATATACTTCAAGGAGTCCGCTCAATGGCAGCGGTAGCGTGCCCTCATCAATGTCGATCCGATGCACAAGATGTTTCACATACACCATTAAACACATATGCATCTGTATATATATCAGGGGAGATGTATATATATATGCATGTGTGTGGAGCTTAACAGGTTGTGCATACCACACACTACGGCTGCTATTCCAGCGACTCGACTTTGCGCTTGTTTTAAGATCCATTTATTCAACTTGAACAAAATATTGCTAGAGAACAGGGCCTTTATTTTTTTTTTTTTTAGATTTAAGATTTTAGAATTGAATTTGAATTTGAGATTGCATTGTTAACAGATTTGCAAGGGTATTCGTCGGGTCGAAGTGTCAGTGCGTGGCAGTCCCAGTTCGGTATTCGTTCATAATATTGTTATAATTGCATATTCGGTTTTCGTTAACTCATAGAAAAAAGTAGATATATATATATATATTACTATATATATAGAGAGAGAGGTGTATATATATATATATACAAATTGAGTACGATTGGCACAGATGACGCGATCACGAACTATTTTCTCGTTTGATATTTGCATTATTTGATTATTCATATTTTCATTTTAGATATATCTGTATATATAGAAATATTTGATATATCATTTAGTATTCGTTTTATGTGTAGCAATCGAGCTGAGTATTTTGAAATGGATTTGATGCCATTTCGAAAGGTTTTTAGCAAAAATAATTGCAAATCGAAGATCTAATTTTTTGAGCTCGCATTGCAAAAATTAAATATAAATTTTTTGCTCATATTATTTTATATTATTTTGTTGATAATTTAAATATATATTCGTTTTTTTTTTTCTTTTTGTTATTTTGATTATTAATTAGTATGTTTTTGATTGAGTTGGTTTACTATGTTATTTAGTATTTATATCATACTTTGAGTATTTTGTACTTTTTTTTTTTTTGGTTTGTTTTTGGTATTTATTTTTGTTGTCTTACCCTTGGTCTTGGAATGGCTTTTAATGGTTTTTTAGAGCCCATCTTTTTCATAGCATTATAGTACTTTTTCTGATCTTCTGTCATGAACATTTCTAATGATCCACCTGCTTTTTTCTTTTGCTCATTAAAATTATCAATGATAACACCAATGAACAGATTGAGTGTGAAAAATGATCCAAATATGATGAAGAACACGAAATATAAATACATGTAGATGTTCGTTTCACGAATCGGCTGCTTGTCCACCTGGTTATCGTTTATCGATAGCGATAACGATGTATAGATTTTGTGGAATTTTTCGTGTTTTTGGCAATTTTGACATCGGTTGAGGATTTCGTTTTCGTTTTGGTTTTTGTTTATTGTGAATGGATCATTTTTAGTGTTATACGGCAGTGTTGTTGTGTGGTTTGTTGTTGTTGTTGTTGTGGGTGGCCAGAGTAGTAGTTGATAGTTGTTATGTTGTATTGTGTTGTTGTAGTAGTTGTTGTTGTTGTTGTTGTTGTTGTAGTTCATATAAAAAAGAAGAAAAAAATGTATAGATAGAAATGTTGATTAATTGAAAATTACGTTAAATACTTATAGATTCGTATAGAGAATATATGTAGTATATTTATATATAGGATTGCGTTTACTTCATCTTTTTAAAGCGCATAACCAAATAAACATGAGTTGAGCGTCAAGTTTTTTTTTTTTTTCATTTTCATATATACTATATAGTATATATGTATATGCATATAGGCAAGTAAAGTAAATAAAATAAGGAAAAGGAAAGGAACTGAAGGGCATTACCTCTCGTGAATCGATAGCATCGTTCATTATTTGTATCCAGCCTTTAAAGGTCGCCACTTGGAAAAGGCACAGATACGCGTTACCTACATGATCGAAATTCATTGCTGAATTCACCCACGTGTAGTTCTCGCTCTCGCATGCATTGCGATTTGGTATTATCTCGTGGCTGAGCTTTGTTCCATTTAAATCTTCGCACTGCATTCAGCATCGCCAGCATCATCATTGTCGTCCGGAGCATCATCATCGAATTGTGTTTTCATTGAAAGTGTTTGTTTGATTTTTTTTTTGTGTTTTTATATTTTTGAGATTTTGTTTAAAAATAAATTAATTTCAGTTATGCGTAAGTTATGTTAGGCGAATTTATTTACAACTGCTTCTACACTGCCCAAAATTTTACTGATATGCAAACGAAAAAAAAAATCATCGAGAAAACTATTCACAAAATTATTGTTAATTATTATAATATTAGAAATACATCTATAGAGCACGTAAATGTTCTATACAAAATTTGAAGCAAAAATTTAAGTCAGTTTATCAAAAAAAATTATGTCAATTAACTTGACTGTATTGCAGTAAAAAAATAATTTTGTATCTTGGCCTGTTTCCTTCTTTTAGGCAGTGTAAAAGCAATCATTGAATTCAAGAAAATTTAGGCTAAGCTACGGCTAATTACAAATAAATTTATTACAAGTAACTTGTAAAGGCATATTGCATGTATATTTGTGTGTGTATGTGTGTGTGAGTGTGTTGTTTCAGCAGCTAATTAGCATTGTATATAGTTATATATATATATATAGGTGGGTATATATATATTTTAGCATTTGATGGCTGCCACTGGGCCAGCACTGAGAATAAGTTCTTAAAGAGTATTTTGTGCAAAAGGCAAAACTAAATTCTAGTACTAAACGAGTGTACTAAATATAATTAATTAATGATTAATTGGTTGGTTTTTCTTTTCTGCATGGGTATTGGTGCAGCAACAGTCGAGTGTCGCATACAACTTGGAGTTAAGTGTATTGAGTACTTGATTTATAATTCGGATATGCAACTATTCATGCTCTGTGCCTAACTGAAATGCTATCTAGGACGCGATACAGTTGGGCATTATTATCGGAAGTACATTGTACAGAGTACAGAGTATACAGCATACAGCATACAGCATACAGCATACAGCATACAGCATACAGCATA